TCCACGACTGTTTGTGGGACACTGCTGTGCGCAATTGGCTGCCGCGTTTCGCCCACAAATGTACGATCAATTCACTTTACAGTCTATTCTGTGAAACGCTTTGAGATGTCGAGAAGACGTGAAAAGCGCTATATCAAATGCAAAGATTATTATTATTATATCTATGTTTTTATAATCTTAGAATTTCCACTGACAGTTATCAGAAATGAAAAGATACACAAGAGGTTCAGGGTTATGAAAATAACAATAATTTGGTATATTCTGTACAGTATATTTTTGGTATAATATACAGTATATTCTGTGAAGTGATTTGAAGCCTGACCAGAGCACTGTAGAGCCTGAGCATGACTTAATAATGATAATCCTTGCATTTGATATAGTGCCTTATCACGTCTTCGAGACATCTCAAAGCACTTTACAGAATATATATGAAGCGCTTCATATTTTGTGGGCGAAACGCGGCAGCCAATTGCACACAGCAATGTCCCACAAACAGTTGTGGATTGAGTCGACAAATTATTATTATTATTTTCTTTGAATGGAATGCCTCAAGAAAGCGATCCGCCAATCGACTAACAGCCAGGTTCCTATTTACTGCTAAAGGCAGTAAATAAAACAGAGGCGTGTGGTGTAAGAAAACTTGCCTAACATTTCGCCTCGTCTGGGAATCAAACCCAGGTCCTTTCACTTCCAAAGTGAGTGCTCTAGCCTATATGCTACAAACTTCTGGGGTTCTGACTCAACTCAACTGATTTGGATGATCTGGGCCTTCCAAGCTATTTCAGAACAAGCAACATAAATTGATTTATTAGTTTATTGCATCTATAATATACATTTTCTCACAGCTGTGTGGATGAAAACCGAGCCACAATGTAAAAACCCCCTCAATTCTCACCTTCGAAAGGGTTAAGCTGATCCCTTCAATAACAAAGAGTTTATCTGTTGTAACATGGCTTTGCAGGAATTGGCCTACATAACATTTTCACCACATTATCAACTGGTTAAGCAGGCAACGCCTGCCTCGCAAAACCAAGCTCAGGGTGGTTGTATTGAGTGGTTTATAGGTCGCAAACCCTGGTGCAATCAGTCCTTGCTCTTTCTGCAAGAAGTGTAATTGCAAACGGCTAAACAGAGAGGAGCATGAGTGAGGGGCGGGGGAGGAGCTGGAGGCAAAAGGGTGAGAAGAATAAAGAGTCTAGACAAGCAATCCTTGGATGAATTGTAATTCAACCAAAATAACAGCTTGAACAAAAATGAATCAAAACCACAAGTATCCATTCCTGATATGATAAACTCATGTATGTGCCATTGCCTCTCTGTGAAATTATTGCCGAGGCTCAATAATAATAATAATAATAATCCTGGCATTTGATATAGCATCTTATCGGGTCATTGAGACACTGCAAAGCGCTTCACAGGATATACTGTAAAGTGGATTGACAGAATTTTTGTGGGAAAAAAGCGGCAGCATATTACCTCCAATGTTTCCTCTCTCCAATTCAACAATCATGTTGTGTGCAAATGCTTTATCTAAACTCTATTTCATTGTAACAGACGGTGCAGGGTTAAGAAAACTCTCCCACACATTTGAAACTGAAAAGGTAATTCCTCCCTTTCGACATTACCATTTACAACCATCATTTGTCACAAGCCCCCATACAGACCAGTTTCTATATCACTATAAATGTTACCATCCTTATCTATCTATGGCGTGATTGCTACTACTCTGATCATTCTGTTTTCAATGAACGTGTGTTATCCCCTCAGTTTCTATATTACTGTAGATGGGACTGCCTTATCTATCTATAGATCGTGCTGGCTGTTAATTATATCAACCTGTTTTGAATGTGGAAACAAAGCCGTGAAACTATTACTGTTGGGCAAGTTTCTGAATATCAAGATTTCACATGACAGAATTTTATCAAGAGATCTATGTCCAAATACACTTTTCGTGCCAATTGAAATTGGCATTTTCTTTGCATACCGACTCGGATTAACGCATCTAAGTGATAAATATCTCTGATTTTTGTATCTTATCTCAGACCTAAATAGAAGCAGAGAACTCTCGTCATGGCAAGTCCTCATCCTGTTATTCACAACCTGTGGACTGACTACTTAAGCACAAAGTGCACACATTCTATTGACTTGTTCAGGATCTTGTTATTAGATCTGAGTCCAAAGTTTGTATGCCAGACAGTGCCGTCACACAGCAGTACACAAGCAAGAAGGTAGTTTCTCACATTCTCCTCAGCCAATTCCACAAATAGTCGTGGATTGCGTGACCAAATAATTATTATTTTTTCAATTTTTTGAAGGGATTATTACCTCCGGAAAAGAGATTTGTCAATCAATTAACATCCGGTTCCTACTTACTTCTAGGTAAACAGAGGCGTGTGGAGTAAGGAAACTTACCTAACATTTCGTCCTGCCCGGGAATCAAACCCAGGTCTTCTCGCTTACGAGGAGAGTGCTCTAAACACCAAGCTACAGGACTCCTGTGAAGTGCTTTGACTCCTGACGTGAAAATCACTATATCAAATGTAAGGAATATTAGTATAATAATTTGAGTTTAAACTATCAAAGCACTCTGAGACGTTATTCTATGGTAGCCAAATTTTTAATTAATTGAATTTAATGAATGGGGGAGACCGACAAGAAGAGCATTAATTGCTCACAAAGGCTTACAATTAATGATAAACAATAATGTTGCAGGAATGAACCATTCGGAGGTACCCTCACCTCAGAAATTACCTCAGAGCAAGTGCAGCAAACAACATTTTGAAGCTGCAAGAACAACCGTGCAAGTTTTGAACAGCTCAGGCTTACAGTGCTGATATACAGTTTAAATATTACTGGAAATGCAGAAGAATATGTTTCTCTGAACCAACTCTATTCATGCCACAGACCCACATAAAACAGAGCAACTCCACAGGCTATAACAGCACACTTTGCAACAATAGGAATAAAATTAAACAGTAGCATTTTAGCAGCTTAAGATTGCAAAAAGTATCCTATGTCGAATTGCTTTCTAACTAAAGGTATAGTTGAGAATAAACATGATTATGCCCAAACTAGGAATCAAGACAATTGTAATTTTTCTGAGTGAGGGCATTAGCAAATACAACAGGGAGAAATTCCCTGCTCTTCTTTGAAATAGTGGCAGGGAATCTTTCCACATTCCCGTGAATTTTCTGTCCTCTTGACACTTGAAACAGAACTGAAGATCGTTCAATAGAACAGCATAACATTGTAGAATGTTTCAGCACATATATATATATATAGGCTACAACGACTGAACCAATCTACTCTGATGTTTTTCTCTCCAGGTCACCTAATCTACTCCTAATTTTTTGCTTCTTCCCCACGCACTTTAACATTCTTTTTTCAAGCATCTAATTTCTCCGTTAAATAATTTACATACACAACGGCTTGCGGCAGAGAATGGCTCAGCCCAACCACCCCTCTGTACAGACACCATCTTTCTCTAACCTATCATTTAATTATTTTGGTGATTATTTCAAATTTGTGCCCCCAAGTTCCTGACTCACTGCCAAATGTAAATACTCTTATTACAATTTAACTTCTGAAGACATAGTTTGTATTAAATATTTTATATTAACTAGTGGTTTTCACAGCCTTTTTCGCCCAACAATTTTTTTTGCATATTTTCATAGTAATCCTGGTATTTGACACTTGTACTTAACCTTTTCACATCATCTCTGAATTTCCCTTGCTCAAGACACACACAAACAAACATACTGCTTATCCGTAGTCTCAAACTCAAAAAAAGAGGAGTGGGGAGGCAAGGGGGGAGAGAAGACAATTGAAGCTGAGTTCTACCACAATGTGGTTTTATTAATAATAATAATCCACGTATTTGATATAGCGCCTCATCACATCACAATCTCCCTTCTCTTTTCGAATAGCACCGTGGAATCTTTAACATCCACCTGATCAGGGAGATGGGACCTCGGTTTAATGTCTCATCTGAAGTACGGCATCTCTGACAATGCAACACCCCCCCAGCACTGCATTGGAGTGTCAGCTTAGACTGTGTGATTCCAAGTCCCGACGTGGGGCTTGAACCCACAACCTTCTGAATCAGAGGTGAGAGTGATACCACTGCACCAGGCAATGTACTGCACTATTTAAAGAAACATTCAAGTTCAAAGACTATAATAGCAACACTTTCTAATAATCTAATATCTTTCCAATAATAATCCCTCCAAAACAAACAAAAATAATAAATTGGTCATTTTCAATCCATGACTGTTTGTGGGACATTGCTGTGCGCAATTGGCTGCCGCATTTCGCCCACAAATATACAATCAATTCACTTTACAGCATATTCTGTGATGCGCTTTGAGACGTCTAGAAGACGTGAAAAGTGCTATATCAAATGCAAGGATTATTATTATTTCTCAAATTCTGTTATGTCTCCAAAGCAATTGAGACTCTAAAGAGAGGTTTGAAGAGATGTTAAGTTAAAATGTGACGTTATACCACATTCCATCAGAGGGGCATTGGCTCTACAAACAAGGGCCTGCCTCCACTCCTGAGGAACTCACTTGACAAACTATATCTCATAGGAGAACCAAGTTACCAATCCTTGTAAGTGGTGCAGATCTTACCAAGATATTTGCTCAGAGTCCAAGCCACACGTTGGTGTACAACAAATTACATTTGAATATCTGGCCTTTCACGTTGGGAGGATGTCACAAGGGACTGAACTATTCATCATCCCTATATAGTTTCTTGATACTCAAAGCGCTTCCCAGAATCTATCGTAAAGTGGATTAACTGTGTATTTTATGAGCGAAATGCGGTACCAATTGCATAAAATTGGTATAGCATTTCATTGTATAACAAAAAGGGATCCTTTCAAACGTATTCCTTGTTAATAAGAAAATGGTTTATTAAATGCTGCCTGAATTTGGCCAACCCAAAAAGCTTTCACAAAATGTCAAGGATAACTCAAGATGTTGCTTTAATCAGCATTACATTCCACAAATGAGGTCATGGCTCATTTCAAATGGGACAAAAATCATCAAAGTTCAACAAACAGAGCCCAGAGGCAACAAACACACAGATGTTACTCTCACAATGTTGATTCACCATTGCGGGAAAAAAACATCAAAAATAAAAAGATCTTTCAACACATTCGTTAATAAACGTACACTTTTATTCTCAGCAGAAACAAAGCCCATTGGTTAGGACTTAGTCCGACAAAGTAGTTGTCGCCATCAAATTCCTAAGATAGATTCATCCCAAAGCTTTTCCTCTTCTGTTCTCGTATCTACCTCCTCCCTCTTCTTTTTCTCCTTTTTATGTTTCGGTTTTGCGTCCTCTTTTTCTATGCATGGATCCTCTTTCACCTTTCTCTCTTTCTTTCCATGTTTTAACTTTTCTTCTTTTCCTGATTCCAACTCCTCTTTATCTCTTTTCTCCGCTTTATGCTTTTGCTGATCTTCACTTTGAACCCGTTCCACCTCTTCCTGGTTGCTCTCCTTCCTGTAGACCTGACATTCCTCATCTCTTTCAGATTCAGTCTCTTCCGGGTCTCTTCGTTCCCGTCCGTGTTTCCTCTTTCTCCTTCTTTTGTCTTTTTTGGAGGAACTGCTGCTGTCATCCGAGGTCATTGGTCTGTGATCATCAGCTGATTCCACACTGGAGGGACCTCGGCTGTCTTCTGGGTAACTGGCCATCATTGGAGGTTGTCTTTCTGTGTAATATTCCATTTGTAAGTCATTGGTTTGCATATAGGTGGTCTTTGTACTGTCAATTTCCAAAGACGCCCACTTGGGTGTATGATCATGTACTTGCATTTGGAAATCACATTCCTCTGGGAAAGTGCATGGGTTCAACCCAGGGGTAGTTTCTCTGCTTTGAGCAATATATTCCAAACCAGGAGTGGGAATAGGGACAGGAGCAGGAGGAGAAGGGGGAGGTCTGACTATAGGTAAGTCCTCAATTTCCTCTTCCGACCTTTCCTCAGATTTTCTGAAGTATGTCTTTGGAGCAAGGCCTCGCGCTCTCTGAACTTTTATGAAGTCGTCAAGTTCGTCCTGGAAGGAATCGTACTTCTTTGACTTTGTATTCAGTACAAGATCAGCAACCTTGTTTTCTCTGTAATGATGACAAGAAAGTTTAAAGAGTTTATCTGAAAGTTATATTGATAATAAATGTTTTCGCCCACAAAATGTATAGTCAATTCACTTTACAGTATATTCTGTGAAGCGCTTTGACACGTCTCAAAGATGTAATAAGGTGCCATATCAAATGCAGGGATTATTATTATAATCCTTTCATTATATATGGCTCCTTTTGCATTTTTATCAGGAGGACGTCTCAAAGCGTTTCAGAGGATATAGTCTAAAGTGCAATGACTGTATTTGTAGGCAAACACAGCAGCCAATTTTCACACAGCAATGTCCTGAAGTTAACCTGAAGGATCAAGTTGTGTGATTAACAGAAAGCAGAGAGGATTGGTGAATGATTGTTTTTCAGATTGGAGGGAGAAATACATTGTCCCCCAGGGGTCAGTTTGTTCAGTTTGGTAAATAGTGGCACAGCATAAATTTAAAATATTAAAGAAAGGAAGATTCAAGCCCAATGTCATGGTCTAAGCTCACACTCAAGTGCAGTACTACCCTCAACTCCAGGACCACTGCTGTCCTAACAGACTGTCTGTCGGATATCAAGTCCTGGATGAGGGCAAATTTCCTACAGTTGAATGTGAATAAGACTGAGGCCCTCCTGATTGGCTCACGCCAGCACGTCAGGCTCTGGCAGCATCACCCTCCATGGTTGCACACTACAACTCACCGCCAGTCAGGAACCCAGGTGTCTTGTTCGACCCTCAAATGTCTTTTCTTCCACACATCCAAGCCATGACCGGCTCTGCCTTCCCTCACCTCCGTAACATTGCCCGACTCCGCCACTACCTCACCCCTCAGGCCGCTGAAACTCTTGTTCATGCCTTCATCACCTCCAGGCTGGACTATGCAAATGCCCTGCTTGTCGACCTTCCCAACTCCTCCCTCCACAGGCTGCAGATAATCCAGAACTCTGCAGCCCGTGTCCTCTCCCGCACCAAACTACGTGACCCCATCTCCCCCACTCTCACCCGACTCCATTGGCTCTCTATCCTTCAGAGGATCCAGTTCAAAATCCTGGTCCTCATATACAAAGCCCTCCATGGCCTCCCCCACCCTACTTCTGTGACCTCCTAACCCCCTACCAACCCGCCCGCTCCCTCCGCTCAGCCGGCTCTGGCCTGCTCCATGTCCCCCGATCCACCCGCCCCACCATTGGTGGGAGAGCCTTCAGCCACTCTGCCCCCAAACTCTGGAATTCCATCTCCTAATCACTCTGCCTCACCCCCTCCTTAGCCTCCTTCAAGTCCCGCCTCAAGACCCTCCTCTGCGGCCATGCTATCGGTCACCCCCCTTCCCCTCCCCTCCCTTCTCCCCCCCTGACCCCAGCTCGGGTCTGAAATGCTGTACACTGTCCAACACCTTGGGATGTCCTCCCGACATGAAAGGCACTATACAAATGTAATCTTGTTGTTGTTGTAGGGGAGCACTGCATTTTCAGAGCTACCTTCTTTTGGGTATTAACCTGATGGTCCCATCTGCCCATTCAGGTGGATGTGTGAGATCAAAAAGAGAACAGAGTTTATCCAGTGTTCTTGTTAACAATCCTTAAGATTAATTGGTCATTCACTTTATAGCTGCTTGTGGGACTTTGCTATGAGCAAAATGGCTGGTGTGCTCGGCTACAACAACAGCGCTTTGAGATGAACTTTTTTCTTGAACTTTATTCCACCATAACTTCCACCTCATATCACCAAGCTGAACAATGACTGTCACTCAAACCCTACCATTAAGATTATATTTACTAATCAATCTGTGCTGAATGTGACTTGGTTGGGGATGAAAAAAATCAGAGAGCTCTTACTTGAGCTGATGTTTATATCCTTGCTGGTGTGACTGGTACTGTTCAATGGAGTTAAGTGTAATATTGCAGATAGCACATGGATAGTCACCTGTTCCTACTGGGAGAAAACAGTGAGTCACTTGCAAATACAACTCATTGCTACTTGTCTCCAAATGCCTAAGGCGACAACTCAAATGCAAAATATTACTTTGATAGTATTAAGACAACAACAATTTGCATTTATATAGCACCTCTCATGCAGGGGAGTGTCCCAGAGAGCTTGACAGTGGTGGAGCACAACCCTGAGCCAGGGGAGAGGGGAGGTGACCATAGGCACAGTCGAAGTGGAAGGTCTTCAGAATTGTCCTGAAGATGGGGAAGAAGAGGCAAGGTGGAGGGATTGAGGGAGAGTGTTCCAGAGGATCGGGGTGTAATGGCTGAAAGAGTGGGCACCGATGGTGGAATGGAAGGCTTGAGGGACAAGCTGGAGGTCAGAGGCAGTCGAGTGGAGGCAACGGGTCGTGGGTTGGGGAGTAAGCAGGTCGGAGAGGTATGGAGGTACCAAGGCATGAAGGGATTTGAAGATGAGTGAGGATCTTGAAATAGATTTGTATTATATCTGTATTATGTATTACCCAATGAATGTTTGCATTCTTGGAATCTAAGCATCCTAAGTAGGTCAGAGGGGTTGTGAAGGAATCAGCCATCTCTTCCACCATTCCTATGATTAAGTGAACTCTCAGTGGTTTGGCAAGGATACTCTTAAGCATGGTGATTAGCTTCCCTGTGTGTCAACACACCCGGCTGACAAAAATAAATCCCCATACTCTTCTATTGTTTAAAGAAATACTGCATGTTAATATTCTCATATTCATATTCAAATATCTTCATGCTGCAGGACAACCTACTTCTCTGACCTCCTCATAACCCACTCCTGTGTCCACCCTCTATGCTCAGCCTGCTGTGTTTCCCCCTCTGCACCACCATCATTGGCTGAGTCTTCAGTCAATAGATCCCAACCTTTGGAACTCGCTGCCTCTATCTCTCCATCTCCCCTTCCCTCTCTAACTACCTTCAGATTCCACCTCTAAGACTACATCTTTGACTCTGTCTATAATCACATCCTCCTCCCCTTCTTCCTATCTTGATGTCCAACCCAACCACTGTGCAGTGTTCAGAGGGGTTATCTATGTGAAGGATGCTATATAAATGCAAGTTTTTTCTGAGGGCTATTAATTAGCCTGCAAGGTCTGTCCCCATATCTGGTGCAATGCATTCACATTGTGTAGCTGCTCACCATTGGTTTCAACAGGATCTGCCTCCTTCCCCATATCCTCCAGGAGTTGCCTCCTTGCATCATTCTTCTTGTGCTTCTTGCCATTGTAGTGCTGCTGGGCCATCAGAGGGTTGTTGAAGGAGGCGCTGCAAAGCTTGCAGAACTTGTTTGGATCTTCCAGATCCAGCGCCATGGAGGCCACCGCTGGGGCTTCGGAGACCAGGTCCTGCTTGCTGCTGTCAGGCTGGGAACCCTGTGCAATACTGTTTCCTTCTGATTGTACACTTGCCACATCTGTAGATGCTGTAAATAATAATCATCCTTGCATTTAATATAGTGCCTTATCACATCATTGAGACGACTCAGAGAGCTTCACAGAATATACTATGTAGTGGATTGTTGTATATTTTGTCGGCGAAACGTAGCAGCCAATTGCGCACAACAATGTCCCACAAACAGTCGTGGATTGAATGACCAAATTATTATTATTTTTATTTTGAAGGGATTATTACTCCCAGAAAGCAATCCACCAATCGACTAACAACCGGGTTCACACTTACCGACAGAGAATTAGACTTTAATCTGTTATGTGGTTAGTCCTGGAGGTTTGGGCAGGTTTCCTTGCAACACAACGCAAAATTAACCACCATATTCTAATAAAATTATAGCTCTTTTGAGTAAATCCATAAACTGGACAGTGTTTCGATCTGGACGGTGTTTAAATCTAGATGGCTTACCAGTCTGTGCTTGAGTGACAGAGGGCTGCTCTCCAGCAAGCTGCTTCAGCCGCTTGGCGTGGACCTTGCCTTGGTAATGGGACTGAGCCACAATGGCAGAGGTGAAGACCATGTTGCAGAGAGTGCAAAGTTTATTCTTGTCCACTTCTCCAGTTCCAGCATCCTGTAAACAAGTACAGCTTACAGTTTACAGCTTCTATCACAACAAAAATGCAGTATTCTTCGGTGAGTAAACATTTTTTTTAATCGGCAAAGTTGGTTTTTGCATTTGTTTCTTAAAATTCAACTATTTATACAGTGCCTTTCACATAAAAGAAATGCTTTACTCAAATGAGATTAATCACAAATAAAGAGAAAATTGTTATGGAAGCAAATGTAGCAGCTAATTTGTGCTAGGAACATCCTACAAACAGTCAGATATGTAATAATGATAATAATAATAATCCTTAAATTTGGTACAGCGCCTTTCACATCAGAAGGATGTCCCAAAGCGCTTCACAGGATATACTGTAAAGTGCAGTAACTGTGTGTGTGTTGTGGGTGAATAGCCAGTTAATTCACATTTTTGGGGTGAATTTGGATGAAAAGGAAATATCAGGCAACATAACTAGGAAAAATCTCTACTATTTATTGAAATAGTTGTGATTGGGGGTGATGGGGGAGAAATCCACCTGAATAATGAGGCTCATAGGATTCAAAATCAATGACCAATTCTAAAAGGTATAATGATCTGGAAACAAACCTTTATTTATTGGAGAATGTAACATAAACATAACATAACATACCATGTAGGAGCAGGAGTAGGCCATTCGGCCCTTCAAGCCTGCCCCGCCAGATGGCTGATCTTCTAATCTAACTCCAGGTAAAGGCAAATAGTCTCTCTGTGCCAGCAATATGCCCCAAAACAGTAGATTAATTGCATTGTTTGCATTTTCAGATTGAGGAGAAACAATGGTCAGAACATACACATTGCAACAAGTTCTTAGTTTCCTCATAAAGCCACCCAGTGGTTGGAACCTGTTATTACAATAACAACCTATTCCAATAAATACTGTATGTCCTTACACCACACAGCATTAAGAAAAGCTAATACACCAAAGTAATTCAATTATTGAGCTTTGAACCTTCGCCCCCCTCTGCCCACACACACACTCCTGAAGTTACTGGTTTATCCTGGTGTTATGGGCCCATTAGCTACCCTGCAAAAAGCCTTTTCTTCATTCGTCAACAGGGCATTGGACAGTGAAAGTTATTACAGTTGAGCCATGGTCCTGCATTCACCAAATATTCACATCCTCACACTTCTCAGCAGGACACGTTTGATAGTGTTCAGGGGTAGAAACCCTGTATGATTTTTTTTGCCCTCCCTAACCTTGCACATGGAGCTAATTCCAGTGACTCTAGCAATTGCTCTAGTCGAGATCTGCTCACCCAGCACAAATCAGGTCTTGGGACTGTTATTGAAAATAACCTTTCAGCTTTACGGTAATTTCTGTTCAGAGCCTGTTCTCTCGTATTAGAAGTCTTACCTGGAAGCCAACCACATCAGTTTTTAACTTCTTATATGGTGCTCCATCTTCTTCTTTGTGGATTTGAAAATAAAGCCGCACCTTGTTAGCATGTTTTTTGCTCTTTAAAAAAAAAACAGGATTTTAAACACACGTTTGGTTAACTTTAACCACAAAGACATAGTTATTGGAAAAGTGCACTAATTCCAGTGACTCTAGCAATTGCTCTAGTCGATGGACTTAAATACAGAAGAGGAAAGGTGAACAGACAAGCCTGATTTAATTTCTTAAAGAATTATGAAAATGTGGAACAGATCACCCATGGAGGCGGTGCGAGCAGATTGTCTCAGAAAATTCAAATTTTAGCAAAGAAATAGATTGATGGATTTCAAGAGGGAAGTAGACAAGACTAGTAAGAGGCTTGAGAGGGTAAGGGAATAGGTTGAGACAGTGCGAACGAATGAACACTTTGCTCAGAGAGCCACTGCAGGCTCGATGGGCCAAATGCCCTCCTTCTGTATTGCAGATTTCTAGGATTCAAGGAGGGGCGTGGGAGTTAGAATAGAGTAAGTCAGAGAGACAGCTGTAGTATTTTCAAGTTATGAACACTACTGTTTCTATGACAAGGGTCATCTATAATTTGGGTCAAATTTGTATTACCTACATATAGAAAAAGAAAATAAAGGGATCCAGAAAATAGGTACATGCTCCTCTGTGATGTGTGAGTCTATATTTGCTATTAAAACCCCTCAACCTACCTCATAATGTGTGGTCCTTTGGACTTCTGAGATTAACATGGCACAGCAAACCCTGCAGTAGTTATCAGTGAAAAGTTCGCTCTCATTGTGTCCTCCCATTATATCTGCAAAGAAACGTGTCCAAAATGTCAACAATAACATCCTGAAAGAATTACTCCTTCAACTTCATGTCTGTATCCACCCAGCTCAGAGCTCACAAGAGAAGTTCAGATGAGGCCCTTAGGCTCATTCTATGTCATACTTCCATTATACCAACCCAACTGTCTTCCTGTTATGGTACCAATACAATACATACTTATACAGCATCTTTCACATTGGGAGAACATCCCAAAGCTTAGTGCTTGGTAACCTATTCCAGCTTTTAATTACCCTCTGAATGAAGAAATGTTGAAAATGTAGAGCATGCAGAATGCAAAGATTATTTTTTAAGTACAGTTCTTCTTTGTGTTTGTCTTAAAATTATCCTGAATCAGTATCCATTAACCTGCATATCTGAAAGGTACTGTAACATAGAATACATATTTATTGCCCTTCGTAATTCACTAACCAATCCAGATTTATTATTTTACTGGTAATTAAATGAACTGAATACATGCAAATTAAGTTTAATGGTTTTTTTAAACTTAGTTGAATAAGTTAAATTTGCATTCATTGAAAATTCAGCTTTAATTTATCATTTATGCCTAACATAATTAATGGTAATAATTTGGTAGTTTTTGTAACTAAAATGTGAATTTAACAAAGAAGTTCCTTTTTCTCTCTCCCATATGTATTTAGATCAAACGCACTTGATTTTCACATTCTTGAAAACATTTATTAGACTGAAATGTAATCCTTGTGAGTTGCAAAAATAAGTTCATGTCTTTAGGAAGGACATCAGAGCCATAAGATGATGGAGAGGAGATTTATTAAAATGATACAGGGCTGAATGGTATTGGCTGACTTACTTAGTCAGAGGAATTGGCTGACTTACTTAGGATCAGAGAAGATTGAAGGGTGACCTGATAGAGGTCTTTAAAATGATGAATTGGTTTGATAGAGTAGATAGGGAGAAATTATTTCTGCTATTCGGTGAGTCACTAAAGGGCATCATATTAAGATTAGGAGATTTTTTTNCCCCCAAAGAGTGGAAGTCAAGGCAGGATCCAGATTATGTCTGTTTGTGGAACACTTGTATGCACAACTGGCTGCCATGTTTCACCCACAAAATACACACTCAACCCACTTTACAGTATATACTGTGAAGCGCTTTGAAACGTCTCAACTATGTGATAAGGCGCTATATCAAATGCAACGGTTGTTATTATTATTATTAAGAGGTATGCTGCTAGATATGCTTTGCAATTCCCTTTAGGAATCTTAATTTGAGATCCAATGTGCACACAATTAAAATCTACTTAAAATGTATTTTAACTAATGTCCAATTAATAACATTCTGTAGTTAGATTATATTACTCACTCACAGGGATACAAATGTTAAGTGGTGCAAATATTGATTATTATTGCATCACATTATTTACAGAATTAAGAATGCTGTGCATTAAGAATTAAGAAGCAGTGCTTAACGCTGCATTTGCTGCTGCAATGATTTTCTTAAAACATTTTTTTAAATCCAGTCTTAATATGGAAGCTAATTCATTTTAATAACTGAATTTACAAAATTTAAAAACTTCTATGTGAACTAAGTTTTAAGACATTGGTCTTAAGGCCAAGACCTTGAGAAAATTTTAGGCCTCAACATAATATTAAGATCCATTTACATGCCAATTACAAAAGGATCAAGTGTCAAAAACTTTTGTTCTAAATCTAAAGCACAATAAACTGTAATAATTTCAAGATTTGATTTGGCAGATATTAAACAGATTAGTTTAGGACAATTCAAAACTTTTGAAAATGTGTTTGACACAATGAATTCCACGATTCTCTCAAATATTTAAATCAGTGAAAGCTTCATCCTGCTTTTTCTGGACACTGCATGTCCAATTGACTGAAACTGCAGGCAATCCAGCCTCCACAAGGCAACACAAAACACCCGAATGCCAGGTGCTGAATCGCGGTTTGGTATAAAGCAAGACTCACTCAAGTGCCTGGTTGTTCCAGCTCAGATTCAAATACCAGCTGAACGCACCTGTGCAACTGGTCACAATATAACCAAACAATGGTTGACCTCTGAATTAAACTCCCGTACCCATTTATGTAAGAAAGTAATCATTTCCCCGTTTTATGTTAGTTCCTTGTGATGATTCTACATTAACAATGACGCTCGCCAGGCATGACCAAACTGCTGCAGAAACCTGAGCTTGAACAGTTTTGATTGAGCTCTCAAGAACTCGGATATCGATACCTCCAAACAGCAGAATGTCGCTGAATCTTTTAGTATCGCTCGGAAGGAGCACTCAGTAGTGTACGACTTGGAGGAATAAGGGTGACTGAAGCCCAAAATTCCAAATGTTCTTAACATTTTAAGGGAAAAAATAAAATTCAGTCTTAGCTTGGAAGCTGGTTTTCCGCAGTTTTTAAATAACAAATTAAGAGTGAATTTGAGAATTTTTCAAAGACTAATAGTCTTAAGTCGAAGGACGTCCTCCCGACGTGAAAGGCGCTCTATAAATGGAATCTTGTTGTTGTTGTTGTTGTTGTTGTTGAAGGCAGTGAGAAATTTCAGGCCTCTGAGTTGAGAGGGCTGATTCAGACATTATTCTTAGAAGAGATTTGCTGTGGGCAATATATTTCAACACGAACCCTAGGTAAAGGGCCCAACACGAACAGTGCAGGACATCACCAAGGTTAGAGTAGATGAAATGTCAAGATAAGTTGAAGTTTAGGTTGCATCAATCTTTGGTTTTAAAAGCCTGGAAATTATAGGAAGAAGGAAAATAAAGGTATTGAGAGTGGTTGGGCTAGTGTAAGAGATAAGTCTTGGCTTTAACACTGAGAGACTCTGGGGAGGTACAGCATGGAGCTTTAAGCAGCAAGCCTAAGGGAGAAAAAATATTCAGTGGAGCAATGAATGAAGAAGTATTTATACAAAGGGCAAGACAAGAAATATTGCAGCTGGCAGAGACTTTGGCTTTGTGAAGGTTATGTAGTTAACAGACACAAGCCAGATGAAGGTATCATGCGAACAGGACATTGAACATATATCCTGAATCCAAAGATTGGCATAGAATACAGATCAAAGATGATCTAAAAGGAAACTCTCCACCACAAGTAAGCCACAGGAAGATGACGCCAAGGCATAAAAAATAAAGTACTGCATTTGTTGACCAAAAAGTTGGTGCTAGAAATGTTCAAAACTAAAACTGTTTTGGTACAGTGAAACCATTACTGAACTGGGTGATACAGTTTATTATTTCTGATTGAAATACACAGCTAACAAAGAGAACCCCAACCATATAAAACACTGCATTAACTTTTCTCACACGTGTTGGGCTTTACCCAGCTCAGACTGACATACAAACGACATCAGATTTCAGTCAACTATTGAGGGCTCTTATCAAAATTTTTTTGCAAATGTTCAGATAAATACCAGTGCAACCAAATTCGCATCATTTCAAAAAGTAACATCAATCAATTTCCTGAATGATGAAACAACAAAGGAAATTATTATCTTCAGCTGAAAAGTACTAAATGTTTTTAACATGGCGCTGTGGTCAAAACTGCGGCAACATAATATCATCACTTTTGAGGTAACTACAAGTAGATTCGTCAGTTGGACGTTCTCTGGTTACCTTCACTCGTCAAAATGTTTATCACGTCTCACTGCCGCCCACAACACATCCACTATTCACATCATGAGAAGATTTATGAAGAAGGTCCTTTGACTCATTTCATCTTTCCACAATACAAACCCTACCGATTTCCTTTGAAAATATCAATCTGGCCTTTACTATTCTCACCCGCACTAGCTATTTACCATGCTTACTCATATAACTCCTTATTACCCTCTGTGCAAAAAAATCCTTCATATCTGTTTCAAAACTACTCTTCACAACCTGGACCTATTTACTTTTTCGATCCAATTTCTACAAGGCTCCTTTCGGACATTTCTTTTCTAGACTGAAGAACCGTATCTTATCAAGTCAAACCTCACAGCTCATCCCCCCATCACTGGAAATCCATCCTCATTTCCCATGTGGAGGTTGAATTTTCCTCAAAGAATGAGGAAGACCACACTTTGGTTTCAGGTTTATATGTGGAAATTGAACACTCTATTTATCTAGTTTGTTCAATCTCTGCGAACAAACAGCCAATTACTGTATTGCCAAATCTGACTGTGGAATTCAAGAGAATTTACATCTTAAGAGCACCCGGGAGCACAGAAGCACAAAAACACTCATAGCCTTTGTTTAGTAGATGACAATTTGCCCTAGAGTAAGTTGAAATAACCCTGCCAGGGATGAATTTAAGGCTCTGTGTGGGGATTTTCTGTGTAGAAACTGGCTGTCATATTTGTCTACAAAAACAATTACTGTACTTATAATCTTTACATTTGACAACAATTATCCGTGAAAAGCTTGGGCCATTTTAGTGTTAATAGGCGCTATATCAATCAAATCCAAACATTATTTTTAAGGTACACACCACCTCTCAAAATGTTACTCTTTGTCCAGTAGTAGATTTACATAAAAGTATTACCCTCAAAACGCACAAATAAATGCCTAAATTGATAAGAATCATCTGCCCGATCTATAAGAAATGCTAATGGTTCTTTACATAGAAACATTGGAATAAGGGACCATTAAACTCATTGAGCCTCTTGCAAATCTTCTTACTGTGAGTTTATACTGCACTTTCGTAGCAAATAGTGATGGACACCATAAAAATGTACAACACAGAAAAAGGTCATGTGATCTATTTGGGTATATGCTGTCGCATAGGAACATAGGAATTGCTCGATGAAAAAAGACCAAGGTCCATCTAGTTCGCTTTCTACCATCCTGTAATGGAGATGTTGATAGCAATTAATTCAGCATGGATTAGTCTACAACACAGTGGAATACATTGGGAACCTTAGTTCCAAAGATGCCTAATTCTTCCAAATATACTACAATGGATTCCAAAATATTATTTTCTAAAATATATCTAATTTTCTTTAAAAGAC